GTTTAGGGTTTAGGGTTTCTTGCAAGGAGTAGGACCTCAGGGCTTTGGCTTTTCAAGAGGGTTTTTTGGGGGATTATATAGGGGACTACTATACGGGTTATGGAGGGGCATACTGGGAGTTTAGACTATGATTCATTTGGGGTGATCGGATTCTGGCCCTAAATAATTCGCAAAATGCAGAAGCAAGTAGACAAGAATACAGAACATGAAGTGGAAATTGGTTGATGAATGTTCGTGAAGCAATTAAGGGCTCCCTGCAAAACATATCGGAACTCATATTAGGGTTGGGGGGTCGTTAACTATATTTATGTACTGGCTCTAGAAAAATGAAAACAAAACATTGAAAATTATCTAGGCTTCCGCAGCTTCCACATTAGGTGTGTAAGGTTCCTGGTCTAGGGTGTAGGTCTTAGGGCTAAGGTTTAAGGAGATTAGAAGGTAAGCTTGTTGAAGAAGTCCCATGGGTCCAACACGTAGCATGTGATGCGCACGGCCTGTGGCTTCGGCCTTGGATCAGAGCATGTAACGCTGAGGTAATCAGAGCTTGAGGTTTGAATCTTGCGAAACCTACATCTTGACAATGGTCAGCTTTAAAACCTGTGTCTGGATCTACACTTTTTCTGAATAATATCGCCAACCTAAGCCCTAATCACATACCGAAAAGCTTTAAGCCAGGAACCATGGCCCCCAAACCCCTAAATCCCAAAGTCTTAACTCCGAAGCCCCACCCTGAAACATGGATTTCCCTACCCTAAACCCTCAACCCTAAGCTTCAAGGTAGGGTTGAAGACAGGATCCAAAAATCAAATCACAGGACCCTGAAGTTCTAGCGTTTGCGATTTAGGGTTAGGGCTCGCAACAGCATAGCCGCCCCACGACTGCGCTACGCCTGAAAAGTAACCCTTCAAAGGCCGTGTGCTTGTAAAAAGGATCTGTATAAGCTTCCATAATGTCAGTTTGGTGGAACCTAACTCCTACAAAGCCTCGCGCATCACTAGAGAGGCCTATGTAACCCCCACTCTAGGCCCTATATATATATATGGTAAGATCTTATTTTGTAGTCTGCCCATTTCGACACCCAAGATATGCACCTACCTATCTTCCTAAGGAAAACTATATACGCAGCAACGCACCCAAAACCATAGTAGACACTCTACCTTCAATGTCCTCTGCTCCATACACTACTGCGAAAACCACTTTCCATGTCATCTCCAGTCTCTCCATCGGTTTATCCACTACTGGGCGAACGTTCTCCTAAACCCTAAACCCTACACCCTAAACCTCAGCCCTACCAATACCAGATTGGTGGGGCTTAAGCCCTACAAGTTTCACACCTAAATATCCTTATATACCGCATCTAATATAGTCGCGACATAACTCCTTCAAGCAACCTTCCAACTTACATCTCTAGATATCCCTATTTACCACCTATATAACGCCGAGATACAGCCCATGTAGCAATGTAGTATCTGATCTTAGCGTTCAAGTTCCCTAAATGGCCATGGTGGAAAATGATTACCCCGACATTTCCTTGCAGACCTAAAGGAGCCCTAAACGATTTTCCAAAAAAAGACCTTTAAATCAACCCTAGTCCCTAAACGCTACGCCCTAATCGCTAGACGTTCATTCCGGAAGCCTAATCCCTAAACCCTAGTCCATGAACCCTAAACCCTCATGTGGTTGTTTCCCAAACTAGGCGGACCCCCAAAACCACCCAAGAAAACTACAATCCCTGGTATAGG